CCTAAATGAGGATCTAAGTAATAGAAAGCCAAGGTATCAACTTTATATCTCAAATGAGTCAGAAATACAGTTCAACTTCCGGATCTACTGGCTTCCTCTTGAATCCTCAAGCTTCTCCTTCCTTCTCAAGCTTCAAAATCACCAAGAACACACAACAATGGCTCAAAAACACTTAAAGGTGGATGAGGGTTTCGTGGCTAGGGTTTGGGGTGACGGAGGCTGCAAATGAGGCTGACCTTTGGAGGTTAAGGTGTTTGCATAGGGTGCAAAACCCTGAAAATTAGGGTTTCGATCTGGCAGCCCTACTCGTCGAGTTGAGACTCTCAACTCGTCGAGTAGACTTCAAGTCCCGCGTCCAAATTCCATTCTTGCTCGAAGAGTTTGGGGCCTCCAACTCGTCGAGTCCCTTTGCAAAAATGAATAATTTATTTAAAATACATACCAGGATCTAGGCGTTACATCAACAGGTAAATATATTCATATCATGTATAAGGAAACAAACATTGGACATCGGTTAAATCTATACACACACACACACACACACACACACATATATATATATATATATATATATATATATATATATTGAAATAGAAACCTTATGACATCACCTTCAACAATCAAGGCCATTAATTGTGTTTCACTTCTAACGTTTCCACCCTTAGATCAAATTAGATCAAAATGCTGACATCATGAAAATTCAAACGCTGTTCTTTTTAACAATACATATGAGCCTCTGTAACCTCTCTATAGTTTCCAAACTCGGATTACATATGATCCCAAGATTTAAGCAGTTAAATAGATTACATTAAGCCCCTTCTAGCGACGCCTCCACCTCCTGGTCTCTTGATATGCCTATAGTCGAACGCTTCCTCATATCAAAAGCAACTGCGATCGTCACCATCCCTCGAAATCAATAGTACCGATCTATGGATTTCCATTCAAAACGTAATAAATTGTGAACAAGAGCATCTTTCCTGATCAACAACTAATCAACAACTACCAATGGTGTTCTTCAATGGATTTATCTGGTAGCAATTATCTCTATCGATTCTTTTAATGTATATAAACATGAACGATGCCCTAAACTGAAGTTTTTAAAACCAGGTTTGATTTTTTATTTGGGTTTTGATCTTTAGCCCTAAATCAATTTGTGTTGCTTGAACTAGATTGTATTCGTTGTGCTTGATGCATTGGCTATATAATTTTTAACCTTAGTTTATTTGATTTTTTTTTGGTGATATAGGCTAAGAAAGGGGTTTTCCATTGTGAGGAATAATCGCAAGACAAACACGAAAATGGAGGAAAAAGACGAAGATCCACCACTTGCCGTAGAGATCAATGAAACGCTGGACAGATTAACAATCACTATATATCCATTGTTATTAACAATCAGTTGGTTAATTATATATTGAATGGAAAACATGGAAAGAGGATAGTTGTTATATCGAATGATGACACTAAAATCTTTAAATTACTAAACTTTATTCATGGACAAGTTGTAGGTGCCAAAAATCTCCGTTTTCAGCTCAAAAAGCATCAAGATTCTTCCACATTTCCTGAAGCCTTCTTATAAATAGCATTTGCAGTAAGTGATATTATTATTATTATTATTATTATTATTATTATTATTATTATTATTAATATTATTATTTTAATAATTTCATATGCTTATTTTTCAATTATCATTTCTTGTAGTATGTTGTAATTCTTAACAAGGTTGATATGGTTTCTCCAGATGTTCTACAAGAACTAGAAAAATAGATTCATAGCATTAATTCACTTGCTAATATAATTCATTCTGTGAATTATCAAGTAGATATGTCCATAGTATTAGATTGCAAAGCGTATGTTGTTTTGGTTAATAATTTATCCTACATTTTCATTAAATAAACATTTTTATTCTGAATAATATCATACCAATTTGACATTTTTACCCTCAAAATATATTACATCACAACATGTTGCACACCTAGAATAATTACTAGAAGAAAATAAATCACTAACTACAAAAGATCTTCATGATAGTGGCGTGAGGACTATGTGTATTTGTGATTCACAGCAGCTTAATCTTGATATTTGTATCACTTTATAACCTCAAAATATGTAATTGTTTATAGTTTATTGTTTATTATTATTTTTTTTATAGATTTTGTATTGTGTAAAATGAGTTGTTGCTTATTGTTTATTATTATTATTTGCCAGTAAAATGAGTTGTTGTCAAGAAGAACAAGGAAGAGGCAGATGGTGGTCTAAAAAACTCAACTTATAACCATTTTGTTGGATCAAGAATCTCTACAAAATTAGCAAGGTAGGTATTACAACTGAAGTTTATCGTGATATATTGTATTTTACTTTTTTAGTATTTTGTAATTTTCAAGAAAAGTTACAAATTTGACCAAAAAAAATCTTAAATTGTGGTTTTGTATTTTACTTATGTTACATTATTAATCATGCATTGTTACATTTGTATCATTATGTTAAATTATAACTAAAAAAATGTTTATGCTTGGTATGATTATTTAAAGGTCAACATGAATGTTTCATGTATAACTTCTTTTTGTATTTTATGACTCATATCATAATCATATTTGATTTCTTTCTATAATGTTCACTCAAAACCATTTTGACAATCATCTTTTAGAATAATAAAACCCTCATGTCATGTGAATGATTTTATATTTCTATTAATGCATATTAAAATGGTTTTTAGGAGTCAAAAGAAGTTTATCGACTCTATGTTTATTTCAGGTGCTGTTTGTAAAAACATGGGCCATTTCTTGAATTATATTTTTCAAATGGACCATGTTAGCATCCTACTTTCATATATACACTTGTTAGCATCCTACTTTTATTGATCTTTTATTCAATATTAAATGGATGGATTTTTCATATGAATTTAATCTAAAAAAAGGTAAAACTGTATTTTTCACATTTACTTTTATTATACTTGGAAAATCATAATTTTTTTCGTTTTTCTGTTAATATATAATAAAATAAAATAAAATAAAATAAAATTAATATTCATTAAATTTAAAAGTTTGTTTAACTGATTTAATGTTAACTTCATTTATAAAAAGAATGTATTCAACTCATTTAAACCTCATAATAATTTTTGAAAGTAAATTTCATTCATTCCTTATTAAAATCACGTTCTTAGCACTCACCTTTATTATATTATTTTAATAATTCATATCTATTATATGAAACGTATGTACAAGATTAAGGGATATCGTCGCTGGAATTTAAAGAATCAAAGAATTCGAAATTTGATATCCTTTCCATAATCATTGTTGAAAGTGTTTTTGTAAATCATATGCTGCTGTTCGTCCATTATGTTTATTCTGACCATTTGCAGCATCACGTTCGAACAACATCACCCTTTGCATCATCACATTCATCATCCATGTTCCTTCTTTAATATGATGTTATTAATTTCTATTAATTGTAAAAAACTTCTTTCAGTTGTCCTTCAAATTGATTTGACCATTGTGCTCTTATATGTTTCAATTTTTTTTTGAGTTTTTATAACTGTGTTGAGTGGATACAAAGTGGATTGTAGTTACTATTTTGTTTTTAACAGATTTAGTTAATAGCAATATACTTTGACTTTAATCTGTAATGTTTTGAATTTGCACATTTCTATTTTCTGTTTTGCAGGGTTCATTTATGTAATTATTATGATTACAATGCTATTAACAGAACTAAGGACCATTTTCTAAAATTTCAGTTTACATGACCATTTTGTAAAAATTTCAGTTACCATTTTTAAACAATTCAGTTTACATGGAGCATTTTTGTAATTGTTATATAACATTTTAAAGGGACCATTTTAAACCCTGATGACATTTAACAAGATAACATCCTACTTTCAATTGTTCTTCAAATTGATTTGAGCATTATGCCCTTATAGCAGTGTATTTCTGAATCATAAATACAATTATATTTTGTTATTGCAGAAGGTAGAATGACACATAATAGTGGCGATGAAATCGTCTTTGATAGTCTTGCTGACATTGATGCATCGAAGGAAACATGGAACATTCGTGTTCACAGTGGCGGAGCTTCAACAATTAATCTGGGGGGGGGGGGGCAAAGTAAAGATTGTGCTTGCTAGTCTTACTACTGAAAATGTTAGGTGTATTTTCTCTATTTTATATGTCATTTCTAAAGCATTTTCATATTCATTTTTTTTGCTAATGTCCTTTTCCTAGTTGATCTTTTCTGCCAACAACTTGGTAATAGAAAAAAGACATGACAATAGGTAGAAGGTCTAGCTATGAAAGATTTACATCTACAAAAATTAACAAAATTGTTTCTTAGTTATATTATATTCCAGCTTATCAAACGGTACAAAAATTAGTGAACTCGTTTACAGCACTTGGAAGAAATTAAACTGAATTGTTTCCATATGAAAATTTGCACATATGCAGACATGGAATTTAAGTCTCTATGCTGAAATTGTTCCTTACCAGGATAAATGATTATAGTCACACCTCTTCTCATTAAAAGACTACAAGAAGGACAAATTTTTTTCAGAAAGATCTCAGATACCATAAATTTCTATATTCTATGTTTTATGCAAGACCTCTAGCTTATCTTTAAGAAGAGAATACCCTCTAGCAATCTAATATGAGAGAAGGAAAATGGCAGAGGATATATGTACCTGGGTAATTTACATGAGTCTGGTTGCTAAGCATACTTGAGATATTGGGTGTCTGAGCGGCCATGTTTAAGATAATCAAATTCAGATTCAATAAAGGGCCAACTTGAAGCTGCATAGAGTGGATATGAATTATCTACTGCTCATTTTATTCTAAACAAATCACACCCTAATAACTCTCTCCCCCTTAATGTAGTACTACTAGTATTACAGGATGAATATATGATGACAAAGATACTTATGTTTTAGCCAATGTTACAACAACAAACAGCTGCAATTCATTATAAAGAATTGAAGATAAAACTCACTAAAACTAAAGCAGAGGGGCTGAAGGAATATGGACGATGGTTCGATGGAGAAGACAGAACAGAGAAATCAGAAGAACACTGAAGTGCTGAAAATACCTGATAGGTGAGAGATGTGGAATTGCCAACATTGTTCGATGATTGGGAGGCGTCTGATTCAACGAACAACGAAAGATACCAGGATGGAGTGACTGAGGGAGACGGACAAGCGAGGGTTAGAGAGTCGATGATTTTGGTTTGGATTTTGGACTATCGGATAGCAAGGGGCCACAACCCATTTCTTTTATTTTTGGGATAATATATATTAAAATGATTGGGCCATGACTATGTCTAAGCAAAAAAATCAGGGGGGGGGGGGGGGGGCAAAGCCCCTCCTGGCCCTAACAATCCTCCGCCCCTACGTGTTCAGGTAGTCTTGCTTTGGAAGCAGACTTACAAAAACAACCCAAACATGTTGAGCAGCTTGGAAATGATTTTAATGGACCAAGAGGTAATAATTTTACTAAATTAAAATAAACTAATATTTTAATATATTATATTTAATAATACAACATGTGTTATGACCTACATGGCACTAAAATACAAGCAACAATCAAAAAAATCTCATCAATGTATTTCTAACCTTGTTCGATGAAGGAGCTGTTACGGAAATCTCTAAATATGGTATGGCTAGAAACGAAGGAGATTACATGTTGATTGGTCACAGACATAAGATAAATTTCTACAAAACGACGACAGTCCGTGTATCAGTTCCTTTTGTTGATAGGATCGATCCTTTTAATTTTGTGACTTTCAAAGATTTGACTGCCAGAAATTTTGACACTCGTGTTGCATTTGGTAAGTTTTTTCTCTTAACATATTCACATGTATATATATTATATATTACTTTTAGAACAAATTTTTAATATAATAATAATATATTTCCTTATATATTACATTTTGTAGATTTTATTGGTTAAGTTGTTTCTACTGATCCCATTAGAGTGATCATGGATAAAGGAAGTGAAAAAATGTTAATGAATATGGTTGCTCAAGATCTAAGGTACTTTTCACCTCTCCTTTATTATTTATTTACCATGTTTAATATTTATCTCCATATAACCCAACCATTCATTTATAGTAGTAGGAAAGTTCAAGTTGCTTTGTGGGATTGTTTTGCATTGACGTTGAACAACTATATATTGGAACATCAAAATGATAATGCCCCCGTTATCATCCTCCTACGTATGGCAAAGCTCGAGACTTGGGGCGGTAAGAATATTTTTTATTTTATATGTCCATATCATTACATTCATATTTTTTTAATAAGATAAATTAATTTATTAGTTTAATATTTAATTCCAGGCTAGCCTCAAGTCGGTAACTGTTTGTTTGGGTCGAGATTGCACATCAATGATGATATGTCTTACATTTTAGAATTCAAAAAACGTATGTCTTCTATCAATAAATTATAGCTTAATGTTTTGTTTTTCATTATTCTTAATCATTAGTTATTTTTGTTGTTTAATTTATTTTTTTTATTTTTATATGTAGTATTGCTGATATGGATTTAAATGTTGAGTCATCCATTAATACTTCACAGCTTAATACTGATACTATTGTGGCCAAGACAGAAGATTACTACCTTCGTTCTCCAATCAAGAACATTGATGATATTCCAGATTATAACGAGGTATACTTAAAATTATTAATATTTTCCATTAATTTTTAAAATTTATAAACGCATAACACAACTAATATATATAAGATATTATTTTTTATATAATCTTTTTACAACTTTTGAACTAGGAAATAGGTTTGCCCATCATTGCTACTGTCATCAGTTTTGATTTAGACGAAGGCTGGTATTCATTTTATTGTCGTGACTGTTCAAAAAAAGTAAGTAAGAATGATGATGATAGTAATGTTGAACCATTTAATTTTGATGGTTGCGGTGGAGTTTCTGATGTTTACGGCAAGTAAGTTCCTAATTTTACATCTGTAAACTTATTGTGACATTAAAATTTATTAGATTGTTTCAATGTTCATTTTAGTGTCCATTAAATTGTTATATTATAATTTTTAGGGTGAGGGTCATAATTCGTGTTCAAGATGAAACTGGTTCTGCATCTTTTGTATTGTTTGACCGTCATGTTAAAGATGTTATTCACAGCGGTAATCAGTGCTTGATGGAAAAGATATCAAATGTAGCGTTATTTTTTTTTTGTATTTTCAATATTAGAAACATTAACTATCGATTTTTTTACGTACTTAGTGATTATTTCTGGAATTCCCAACCACAAACTTATACTAAAAAAAGGTGTTCCAGTCATGTTACTTCGTAATATCGACCAAACCAAAGGACTATGCAATGGTACTAGAGTATAGATCGTATGGCTTGGAAGACACGTCATTGAAGCCGGAATCATATCTGACAGATTTTTCAATGAGACTACTTATATACCTCGCATGAAGTTAACCTCGTCTGATAAAAAAATTCCATTCCGTTTTCAGCGGAGGCAATTCCCGATAGTTGTTTGTTTCGCTATGACCATTATCAAAAGTCAAGGAAAATCATTATCATATGTTGGATTATACTTGCGTAGACCTGTTTTCACCCATGGTCAGTTATATGTAGCTGTTTCCCGTGTCACAAGTAAAAAAGGTTTGAAGGTACTCATATGTGACGTTAAAGGTCGTTCAACTAATAAAACAAAAAATGTTGTCTACAAAGAGGTCCTTCAACAATTATAGATATTTATCAATTTCATTGTATCTTCTACACATTTCAATAATACCAATAGCCATAATTTTTTTAATTATTATGCAATATCTATAGACGTTTTTATGTTTTTTTATGCGTTCCCCTGCGTTTAACGCGGGTATAACCTAGTAGACTCCCATAGCAGAAGCAAGAGTTTGTGCTTTGGAAAAGGAAATAATGTAATGGTTTGTGAATCCTAGCTTATCAATTACATCAGAAATACAAAACTCCAAAGCGATTTCACCAAGGCATAACATCAAATAGTTGGTGTGCAATAGATATCAACTTAAAATGGGTGTCTAAATTAGTAGAAAAATAGAAACTATTCAGGCTCAAATAGAAAAATTGAACACACCAAAATTAGTTTATAACTGATTAGCAAACTTTGGGACATCAGGATATTTACATTTTCATATGCCTTCAAATGATGAATATGGTTTTAAAATCCCTAAACACATAGAAATCTCAAAGTAAGAGGAAGAATAGAGTAATATTGTGTCCTTATCGATTGTCTCCTCCAATTATAGGTGATTATTGTTGAAATCAATGGTCATTATGGTCGAACGTGAATATCTACCGTGTGAGCGATAAATTAAGGCAGATTGTGGGATCGAAAACGACAAATTGACAGATCAGTCCAGAACTGAATCGATCATTGAAGATAGGCGGAGATGCGAATCGATCGTCAGAAATGAGGCAGAGATCGATCGTCGGTTTATCGTTGTTGTTATCCTAGGATTTATTGCTACAATTTTCAGTTGGTGAAAAAGAAAGGATTCTGGAGGGGAGATGCGTCGAGTAGAAAAGCCAACAACGATCGATCATGTATCAGTTGGACAGAGGTGCGTCGTCAGACGACAAAGCATGACTTGTAGATGAGGACAGATCGTAGGCTTGAGAAGTTGAGAGAGATAAGAGAAAGAGGGTTCAGAGCTTTGAAGCAAATTAAGAATTGAGTTTGTAGGTGGATCTAAATATTTTTCTCCCAAAATGACCATTATGTAATGTTAATAAGATACTCTCGTGTCTTATTTTTTTCAATTATTTGCAAAAATGTCACAAATGATCTTAACCTTCTATTTTTTTTTATCTAACGATGCTTTGGTTGTCGAGTTCTTGAGAAACTTTGAGTTCTTAAAAGATCCTTCTCATATATATATATATATATATATATATATATATATTATATATATATATATATATAATATATATATATATATATATATATATATATATATATATACAGAGAGAGAGAGAGAGAGAGGATTTTTAAGAACCAGTGAACTCACAATTTTTCAACATCAAAAACACCAATATTCTCCAAAATGGTGTGTCTAAGCCATATATAGGCAAAAAAAAAGATTTGACGATTTTTTTTATGAGTGCTGATGAGAACAATCAACAGTTGTATGGACTGCTGATGAGCACGAACAACAGTCATATAGAGAGCTGGCAAAAATCGACCCAACCCGCCAACCCAACCCAAAATTAACGGGTTGGGTTAAGATTTTCAACTCATTTAACTTAAATGGGTCAACCCATCTAACCCATTTAACTTATATATATATATATAATATATATATATATATATATATATATATATATATATATATATATATATATAATTTAATAATTATTTGAATATTATCATGTATTAATCAAAGTATTAATTTGTAAATTATAATGTTGCATTACTATTATCTATGTTTAATAAAATTCAATCATAATTTTCATCATTTTTTAGCGCCGATAATACCGGTCACTCTCCAAAATCACTTTGAAACTAAACATTTTTAATGTTAATTGAACAATTTATTTGTATTTATAAATTATGATTGTGCTTTTGTCATAATTATGAAGTTTTATTTACGTATGGAACTAATTTAAATGGTATAATATTTAATTATATAATTTATTTAAATGATTTTAAATGGGTTAACCCAAGTTTAACCCATTTATTTAATAGATTGGGTCGGGAACTACATAAACATGTCAACCCGGTAACAACCCATTTATCTAAAAGGTTGGGTTGGGTTGGAAATATCAACCCATTTAAATAAACAAGTTGGGTTGGGTTGAAAATTTCAACCCAATTATTTAATGGGTTGAACCCGAACTCAACCAGGTCGACCCATTGCCACCCTAGTCATATGGACTACTGATGAGCATAATCAGCAGTCATATGGATTGTTGATTGCAGATCAGCAGTCCATATGACTGATGATTGTGTACATCCGCAGTCTATATTACTACTGATTGTGCTCATCAGCAGTCCGTACAACTGTTGATTATGCATACATGAAAATTTCGAAAATAAATAAAAAAATTGTCGAATCTTTTTTTTGAGCCTAGATATGGTTTAGAAGCACCATTTGGAGAAGATTGATGTTTTTGGTGTTGAAAAATGATGAATTGATTATGAGTTCGCAAGTTCATACTTTTTTTAGTTCTCGCAATAATATATATATATATATATATATATATATATATATATATATATATATATATATATAGGCTTATGTTATTCTATTCTAACTAATTATTGTGCGGATATCGTATGCTATGAGAATTACTAAGAGAATAAGTTGTTTAACAATGCGAATACGTTCAACCTTACAAAAATATCATCATTTTTATGCATTCTCGCTAATTTTTTTTTTTTTGTTCTCACACATCGTTTTTCACTCATTTTCATTATAATAGAATACGACCCAATAAAACATTCTGACAACATTCTGACAGAAATGAGAATAATAATAATAAGTGTATAATAACCTTATAGACGATTTAATTAGTGAGAATGTGTGTTAATGACAATAGTTATGTAAGATTGAACGTATTTATATTATCAAACAACATATTTAATTTATCATTCTCATATCATACGATATCCGCACAATAATTAGTTAGAATACTTGAACGTAGCTCTATATAGTATATAGACTTAGGTTATTCTATTCTAACTAATTATTGTGCGGATATCGTATGCTATGAGAATGATAACGAAAATATGTTGTTTGATAATATAAATACGTTCAATCTTACATAACTATTGTCATTAACACACATTCTCACTAATTAAATCGTTTATAAAGTTATTATACACTTATTATTATTATTCTCATTTCTATCAGAATATTTGTCAGAATGTTTATTGGGTCGTATTCTGTCAGAATGAAAATGAGTGAAAAACAATATGTGAGAACAAAAATAAAAAATAATTAGCGAGAATGCATGAAAATGACGATATTTTTGTAAGGTTGAACGTATTCGCATTGCTAAACAACTTATTCTCTTAGTAATTGTCATAGCATACAATATCCGCACAATAATTAATTAGAATACTTGAATCTCTCTCTTTTATATATTATATATATATATATATATATATATATATATATATATATATATATATATATATATATATATATATATATAATCTTTGCTTAGTATAGTGGGTTTCAATATTCAATATTTTTGAAGGAAACGACAAGGGAAGAACCCAATGCAAAGAGTGAAGAAGGGGCATTACCTTCGACTTCGTTTCCCTATAAATTCATCGGTTTATCTCAATACCCTAATACAAAGAAAGCCATGGCCACCATCGTAACCGTTGAAGATGCTTATCCTGGTGTCGACGCTGAGCTTCTTAAAAAGGCCTGCCATGGTTCTAGATCTTATCTCTCTAATCTTTCTTCGTCCTATAACTTATATTAATCTTCTTGCTCATTTATATATTTATTTGCTTTTATATGAACAGGATGGGGAACGGATGAAAAAGCTGTAATAGCGATTCTGGCACATCGAAATGCTACTCAAAGGAAACTGATAAGGGAGGCTTACCAAGATATGTATGACGAGGATCTTGTGAAGAGGCTTGAATATGAGCTATCTGGTGATTTTGAGGTATTCGTGATGATATTCTATGTGATTTTTTTTTCTTTTTTGTGGGTGTAATCTTATGAATAATATGTGTATGGGTTAATCGATGTATGTAGAGCGCAGTGTACCGATGGAATTTGGACCCTGCAGATCGGAATGCAGTGCTAGCAAGTGTAGCTCTACGTAAGGAGCACCGTGATTATAGAGTGATCATTGAACTATCATGCACTCTTTCTCCGGAAGAGCTTGATGATGTCAAGCATTCGTATCAATGCCGCTTCAAGCGTTCTTTGGAAGAAGACATTGCTTCGCATACTTCTGACGATCTCCGAAAGGCGAGTCGTATTGGTTTGATTTCCGTTTAAATAATATATATATAAAAATAGCACATCTAACAGGTGATATTTATCTTTGGTACAGTTACTTGTAGGTTTGGTGAGCATACATAGGTACCAAGGTGATGAAGTGAACTTGAAATTGGCAAAGTCTGAGTCAATCATCCATTTCTCCATAATTGCTTCTTTTCTTTCAAATCAAATAATATGAACTTGGGTTTTCTACAGAGAGAAAGTGAAAATCAAGGAGATCTTTAGAGAGAGAAAGTGAATATGAACTAAATTCTAGTGAGAGAAAGTGGTACAAACAAGTATGCTAGAGAGAGAAAATCGAATTATGGATCAAATCAAGGAAAACTTCGATTTCTAGAACACAAAACACTCTATAAACACGAAGATCAATAAGAACATGAAGAATCACCAAATCAAGATAGCCATCAAGGATCAATTCTTGATCCAATCAAGAACACCCGCTCTGATACCAATTGTAGTGGTGTTGATTATGATGGCATGTGCGGAATAAGAAAAGATTTAGTGAATCATCATGTAAAATCAAGAACACAAGGAGTAAATAAATATATGTGTAAGCTCATATTAGATCTAGAAAGGATATACAAATGAGTTTGCATAAATTTCTCTCTGTAGTCTAACACTCCAAATTGTTCCTTACATAATGGGAGTCACTTACTTCCTATTTATAGGAAAGACTCAACCCATTTACACATACAAGAAGGTAAGCCTAAAACGTTACATCCAAGAGTGACTTTGCACCCTAACAATTCTTCGTAATGCCATTGAAGAGAAAACATTTAACCATGAAGAAATCCTCCGAATTATCACCACAAGGAGCAAGCCACAACTCATGGCTACTTTGAATCACTACAAAGATGAACATGGTTGCAGTATGACCAAGGTATATAGGAATTTCGTTGATAAGATACGATGTTTTATGTATTATTATTATTATAAAAAAAATCGCCGATATGTTGAAAACTCAATGTTTTTCTTAACCATTACAGCACTTGAAGGATGATCGAGACAATGGGTACACAAAAACACTACGTACCACGATTAGATGTATGAGTGACCCGATTAAGTACTTTGAAAAGGTTAGCTTTTTTTTTTTCACGTGTTTGACACCATGCACTAATCCATTAACACACATGGGCTAGTGCTATCAGCCATTTTCAATCATCTTATAAAACACATTGTAAATCATATATAAAAACGAAAATTACGCACAAGAATCCTATGCAAACTCTATATTTGAAGGCCGACTACCAAATTTATAATCAAATAAGCACCTACATGCCAATATTTCACATAAAACATATTTCAAAACACGTATTTATAATATGTAATTAATATTTTATAAATTTTAATAGGTGATAAAATAAAAAGTAATAAATTAGAAAAATATTTAAATTCATGTAATAAATTCAGTCTATAATATGAAATGGTTGATAAAAAAAAGTGTAGTTTAAAAATAATTAGACAAAAATCGACAATACCACGAGAAACTGCCAATATTATCATTTGTGGAATACCATCTATGCTTATTGGACGTATGCCATCGTATAGGTGATCCGTAATGCAATTAAAAGTAGTGGGACTAACGAGGATGCACTAACTCGGGTTATCGTTACACGAGCTGAGAAAGATCTAGAGATTATCATGGAGCAATATCACAAGAGGAACAGTGTGCCACTTGATCAAGCTATCACAAAGGAAACTTCAGGTCATTATAAGAGGTTCCTTCTTGCGTTACTTGGGAAGGATGATTAGTTTACAACATTCATGTGTCGAATTTGAGTTTTAAAAAATGATGTTTATGAGGTTGTTCTTGGTTCAAAATTTGAAGTTATTTATGTTTCAGTGTGTTTGTATGTGCTTTTCTTGTATGTGAACAAAACAAGTGATAGTGTGATGCATGATTAAGTAATTTCACTTTTGTTTTTTATATTCATAAAGTTGCAACTACCCAACTCTAAATTAAAAGTTGATGTCACTATTGTCTACAAGTAAAGATGTTATCTATATCATATATAATTTAAAAGAACTTTTGCCGATTTATTGAAAGGAGTGTTTAAGTATAAGCTACTTGACATGCCTAATTCAGCTCAATATGGAAATTACAGCCTCCGAGACACATTAGTTTCCGAGGTGGCATTCGATAGGGGTGTCTCTTCGGTTGGATGTTCTTACGGGTTGTATTTGGCTATTTAGTGGCAGCCTTTGATCTTTCATCTAGCGTTGTAATCAGTTTGCTTTGCATGTATAAATAAGGTAACTTGGAAAATATATTCAAAAAAATAATATTAACTATTGTCATCATATGATTTTTAACGTATCTGATTGATTTTGTTGATGTTAATATTGTATGGGTTGCTGATTCACATCAATCACCACTCAACCGCATACCGGATCTACTTCACCCCTACTACTACCATCTAATACCATAAGAAAGAATCACAGAGTCATCAAGCAAACACAGGCATAACTGACAGTTGTCACAAAGTCAACCATCATTCTACAACATAAACTAGTGGGTCGGCATTGGTGCCTTCGAGCCCCATATACATTGAAGGAAACTCACCTCAGACTGAAGGTATCAAATCACACTCAACGGATGACTCGTGAAATCCTCTCCCTAAGGCACAAGTATGAAACCGTTATTAGAAATTAGGACAATATTCTAACCCGAGGGTCCAAACCCTAATTCTTGTCTTAAAAGCAGAACGGGTTGCTTAACCCTTGCCTCATTGGGCCTGTCCCACTAAGGCCCAAATCCAACTAGTCCTAAAAGGAAATCCAAACCCAACTACAAGGCCCTTAAGGCCCAATATGGTCCAAGAGCACCCAAAGTGGCCTAAAGCCCAAAAATGTCTTGCTACAATAGGTGGGCCTAAAGCCCAAAAAAACTCGAGCCTAAAAATCTCATAAACCTACAGACTGTGTACGTGCAACGTACATGGCTCGTACGCCCGACGTATGCTGATGATCCAGAATCAGGGCACTGGACCAGTACGCGCAGCGTACTCTAGAGTACTCCTGTCGTACTAGTCATTCAGCCCATTTTTGCTCCTATGTCTTAATCCATTAAGCTTTAACGTCCAAAACTTAGATCCAGGCTTATAAAATTATTGGTACTCAAACCATGAATTAAGCCCTGCAACTCACTTAGGTGGTCACCAACTCATGTATGGTTGAGTCTAAACCTTCAAGATACGATTTTTATGACTTCATGCACTCCCAAGAGTCCAAAAGGAGAGCTTAATCGGCCTGGAGTAGCTAAAATCTTCCCTAAACCTAGATCCAAACTTAGAATAAGCAAGTTTCAGACTTTATACCTCCAAATGGACTAGAAATGATGCAGAAACTCTGGATCTACAATCTTCTTCGTCTCATTTGCTTCTCCTCAAGCTTCCTTCGTCTCCAAAACCACAAAAGAACACCCAAAAACTCTATGTAAGCTCAAAAATGAATTCAAGATGGCTAGGGCTTCGAGATGAGCGCTAAAAGGCAATGTAGGCTGAAAAGTTGATGCACTTGAAGGACTTAAGGATCTTAAATAGGGTGTAAACCCTAAAAATTAGTGTTTGCCCCTGGCTTGAGTATGCCCACCGTACGCATGGGTATGCCCAGTGTACGCCGGGATCACCCCGATAACGCACATGCAAGGAGTATGTCGTGCGTACCTAATCTACGCCTAATGTACTCACGAACCCTTCACCACTTTTAAATTGAATTAAATTGAATAATAGATTAATTTCATACCTAGCGACTCGGGTGCTACAATTCTCCCCCACATGAATCAGAATTCGTCCTTGAAGTCCACTTGTAACATCCATAAAAATCATGCAAAATTTAAACTTTTTAAAACATTTCAAAACTAATGTTTATTACGAAACTTGTTTTCAAAATAGTATAATGTCAGAGTATCCCAGAATCAAATCATAAAATCATGAAATATGAGGAGTTGTACGATCACGCCTTCGCCTTCCATCGATCATCAGAAGTACCTGAAACAATAATCGATAAATGTAAGCTCAAAGGCTTAGTGAGTTAACCCAAAATACCAACGCCATAAAACATATCAATAACATATAAGCAAATAGCATGCATAATGAGCCTTCAGCCTGACTGGACCGCCTCGCAGGCCTTCAGCCTATCTGGACCGCTCTCCGAGCCTTCGGCACGTCTAGACCGCCTCGCAGGGCCTACAGCCTATCCGGACCGCTCTTCGGGCCTTCGGTCTGACTAGCATGCCCTCCTGGGCCTATAGTCTGTCCGGACCGCCCTGGGTATGTTGGCCTTCAGCACAAAGCAGAACCGCCTCAACCCAACCCCCAATCAAACAAACATGTGCACATATATATCATACGCCAGCATATATAACAGTCAAACAGATCTAACAGATCATCAAACATAACAACATCCTATAACCAGGATACAGACCTAACCGGTCACTAACATAGCATCGTCCTACATACCACGATACCGACCTAACCAGGTCACTAAGCATATCATCATCCTAACTACCAGGATGTAAATCAATAAGCATATCATGCAATAACACGGATACAAATCTGAAAAAGGGCCGGCATTGGTGCCTTAGACCCTGTTGATATAGTGAGGAGAACTCACCTCACAAGTAGCTCGAAGTGATAAAGTCAAGCTCCACCAAATGCAGCTCCAAGTCTAACACCTACATCCACCGATGACCCACTACCATAAATTCCCAGATTACCAAAATGCCCCCAGAAGTCAAACAGATCAACCCTTGGTCAAAGTCAAAGTCAACGGTCAAAGTCAACAGTCCATGTTGACCCAACTTGTCGAGTGCAGCTATGTCACACGCCCGGACCAGATGGCGGAAACGTCCGGAGGCGAGTGACTTCATTGTGTAGTATCATAACATTTTGAGTATAAATGAAACATAGCATATCCAAACATCATACATTGAGATAACAAACTTACATTGTTTACATATTGTATTTGTTCTTCAAATTACACAAAAGAGACATAAGTAAATAAATTCCAAACAGCAGCATAATAATCCTGAATCCGCGTCCCTTTAACCTGCTTACTAGATCCCTAAGAATACAAGTCGTTTTGAAAAGCGTCAACTAAAAAGTTGGTGAGTTCATAAGCATTTTTGTATAAAAATAGTTTTACACATGTTTAGAATCGTTCTCGTTGTACTTTCAGAAAATCCGATATTTTCTATAAAATCGTTTGAAGTCTTGCTCTGAAATCATGGATATATGCATGCATGTCATTAATTTTTATTCATCCTTATAAGGAGTAATTTTTGGAAAGTAATATAATTTATAAAGGCGAGCTGTATTTGAGAGTAGTTCTTTTGAGTAGTAATAACAAATAGTTTTCAGAAAATCCCCTGTTTTCTAAAAAGAAAATAGTTGTAAATCTTGTTTTCTTACCAGGTATATTTGAGTGTGCGTTTTAGTTTATCGTTTTGGAAATCGTATAAAATCGTTTACTCCAGAAAATCCTATATTTTCTTGTATAAAATAATCGTAAGTTCTGTTTCCAATTGTGTGTACTTGCATATGTGTGTGATAGTTTATCGTTTTCAAAATCGTATACAATCGTTTTTCCCGAGAAAATCCTATATTTTCTTATATATAAAATGATAGTCTTAAAAATCCTAAGACTGGAGAGGTGTGAGAAATCAACAGGCGATTTGTGGACATTCCACGCAAGTTGAGTGGACGGTCAACACAACAAATACGGACCATCACTACCATGCAAAGGGGCAGTTGACACAACGTGCCAATTTATTTATGAGGTTTTCCTTACATAAATTTCTAGATGCATTAACATATTCTATTGAGTCGTTATAACCATACTAATATGAAGGAGACCTATCTTGGTGTTTCTCAGGCGCCCAAATCGATTAAAGACATTTGTCACCCTAGACTGGCCGGTCTAGTTGTAGCGAAGAGCGAAGGTGCGGGGTGTCAACCCCGTATAGATCTATACACAAATTCCCGCTCTCCCTCCAGGAGACTCTGGTTATAACTCCTTACAGGACTTTAGACAGACACTAATATATTTATATTTAGGTACTTTTGAGACTCGTCTTCACTAGAATACCAACTGGTTTTTGAGCAATCCATAAGATCCGTTATTTAATAAATAACATTACTTGTGCTAGTTGACTAGGTTTATCGTTTTCGTTTATTGAGGATAATCCACTTGGAATCATAATTATCAAAAATGACCCAAAATTATAGGTATTGGCAAAAATGGCCCTTCTTTTTATAAATTATCAAATAAGACCCATTTTTGTTAAAAGGTGTCATAAGTGGTTCAAAACTAGGTGAATTGTCGAAAATGGCCCATTTCTTCTAAAATGTTCATTTTAGGCTTATATTTATGAAAATATTCAAAAAGGCCCTTGTTTATCCAAAAAATTCCATTTTGGTCCTTTAAAAATTGAGATGTTTAATAATTCTTCAATTTTATTCCATTTTCCAAAATGGTCCTTGTATATATATATGGTCGAAAATGGTACCCAAAATTTTGTTATTTCCATATTTTACCCACTTTCAAAATATTGTTTTCAACAAGTTGTTTAAGCACCTTTTTGAAACAAATCCTTGAGGTTCTTGACATAACAATTTATGATCAATAATCCATAAACATACTAGTTTTTGTGTTCTAACATATAATTGATGATATATAGTTCAAAACCTTGAGACTTGTTAAAAACCTCGAGTTCTTGAACCATGAGATGGAGTTCATAAATTTAAACATATAAATCATAACATACATGCATATACAAGCAAATATACTAAGATTTCACAAGAATCTTGACTTGTATCCTCCCCAAAACTATGAAAAACATCAAAAGATAGGGGTATGAAGCTCACCTTGGTTTTATTTGGTGGGTGATTTGGCTAGATGGTGAGGAGTTTCCAAGTTCTAACCTTTAAAGAGTTT